TTGGAAAGGGGTCAAATATGCAGAAGATTCTGGAAAAACAAAGAACGTTCATGACCTGGAGAATTTTTCAGAAGAACACAGCTTTTTCAAAGCAGTACTAAATAAATGACAAAATGCCATTTTTATGATTCCTCTTCTTTTGATTATTAACATTTTGCAGGTTTTTATGACCTCAACTTCAAAAAAGTTAAGATGACAAGTGGACTATTTATGGGAGATTTTTCATTAATTCATGAATTTGCTATTAGTTAGTTAATATATAAATTAGTTATTATTGGAGTAACACTAGCTCTGGGCATTACTCCTCCCTGCCAGCAGAGGTCATTCTCTCCTGAGTCCCTGTTCATTTTTCCATTTCATGTAATGTTTTTTTTGTAAAGTCTTCCCAATTCCCTAGCCTTTTTTTTTTTTTTTTTTTATCTCTGATAGCGTTGTAGCCTTGCCTGTTCTTCAGACTACTCTTTGGATTTGATTCAATTCAAGGTTGGATTTTTTTTTGTATAGCGCTTTCAATAATAGGTGTTGTCACAAAGAAGTCTTATAAATTTAGATATAGATCAATATTGATGAGACCAGGTGTGACAATGGTGAGGAAAAAACTCTCTGAGATAGCATGAGTAAGAAATATTAAGAGGAAACAGACTCAAATGGGAAACCATCGTCTTCTAGCTCACACCAGATAGTGCGATTACAAATTATTACATTATGCAGGGGTAGAAGAGTGAAGGCAAACATTAATAAGTGTTTTGAAAGGCTGTTCAGTGTATGCATATAGTGAATAAGATCCCCATAATTAGTACAGAACAGTCTTTATGATTACAGTAACACTTCTTAAGTAACACTTCAAGTCTACAGTCTCTTTGCGAGATTATCCACTAAAGCAATAGTGAGTCTTGCACATAAACAGTACTTTCCTTTGTTTTTCTCATTTGTTTTCACCCTTGCCTGCTTTATTATATTGGATTTGGTGCTGTCACTAAACGCTTTCTGCTTTTGGATACCAAATCTTCTCCTGTTTCCAGTGTATTACCACTGGTTAATAAAATATTTATGCAATGCTAATGAAGGTATGACGGCCTGCTGTAGATACCCTTCAAATAAAGTGTTGCTGAGAAATGTTACCTAAATAGATCTGCCTTTCTAACAAGGTACCATTAGCGATGCACTTGCAACTTCACAAGTGAGAAATAGGACCTGCTCAATGAGCGTGTGAAGGCACCATTACATCTACAGTATTTTCAGCCCAAGGGAGAAATGTTAACAGATCTCACTGCAGCACTGGGTTACATTTGAATAGTATTCATTTTTCCTGTTTTTTTATTTGTTTTTTCATATGCGTCTTATAATTCCCTTGCTTTGTCTTTGTGCTTTAATGCTTGTAATTAGCTAAGATTTTAACAGAGTGTGATAAATCACTAATGAATTAAAAACGAGAGAAAAAATCTCAATGATTAATTAGTAGCTAGTGTTTTATGAGACCAGTGAATTTGTCATTAGGTATATATAAAATCTGTGGAGCTCTTGCACGCAACCATTCTAAATGTTATTAATACAGTCCATCATACAAATCAAAGGCTCTAGATCTTTCCTGTAAGAGATACAATCAGTACAACAAACAAAGAAACAAAAAAAATACTTTTTTTTTTTTTTTTTTTTTTTTTTTTTTTATAATATAAAATTTTTTTTCTTTTCGGTGAGACTTGTCAACAGCAATTAGCATAACATTAGTTACACCTCTGTTTGCATTGTTAGATTTTGTTATGGGAGCAATGAAGTGAGGAAACATAAGGAAAAAGAGTTTACCCATGATCTCACAACTTCGGAACCCTGTTGAATAAATGTCATGCATTGACATGTCAAATATCTGCTGGTTTTACCTCCTACAGACTCAGAAACACTTTGCTTGCACAGCTGAAGGAGTTTTGTCCATAGCACCCTGTTTCCCAAGAAACTTATACAACTCCATCCATCCACTATTATATTATTACTGAAGTGCACCTTCTTATTCAGCCAATCATGTGGCAGGAGCGCAATACAAAAGTTCTTGAAGGTACTGATCAAGAGCTTCAGATAAAGTTCACATCATCAATCAGAATGGGGAATGAATGTGATCTGAATGACTTTAGCCATCGCATGTTCGTATGTTGATTCCAGATGGGATGGTTTGAGTATTTAGAATCTGCATACAGAATGCTGGGGCAAAAAAAAAAATACAAAAAATATAACAAACATCCTGTGAGCAGCGGTTTTGTGAGAGGAAATGCCTTGTTGATGGGAGAGGTCAGAAGAGAATGGCCAGACTGGTTCATGCTGACAGGAAGCCTAAAGTAAGTCAAATAAGCACGCTTTACAACCATGCTGAGCAGAAAAGCATCTCAGAATGAACAACGTGCCAAACTTTGACTTTGACAGACAGTTGATCCAGTCCTGTCAACCAAAAACATGAATCTAAGGCTACAGTGAGCACAGGCTCACTGGACAGGCTTGAAATATATCAAATCAGTCTTCATCTTCCCAACTGAACTATGTATATAATTTATATTCAGTAGTGTTCTGTTAATTACTTATGTCACTAATGACTTTAAATTATTTTAGAGGAATAATTGCTTCAAGCCCCGCACACACACACACACACACACACACACACGCACACACACACACACACCCCAACATAAACCTGACACACTGTGCTGTCAAATCATGCCTCTAACTGAAAAAGTGATGTCCCTTAGGCCCTATGCATCCACTCTTTCTTTATTATGAACCCTAAGGCTTAGGGTTCATAATAAAGAAAGAGTGGATGCATATGGTTATCACTACCACACAGTGTGCACCACACTTCACAGTAAAACTGTCAGCCTATGCAAAAGGTGTGACATCCATGGAATGCTTATGTTGTCTTTGTCACAAACAAACCTCAGATAATCAGCAGGATGAGAAACTGACCAAATAGACAAAGCTGAACAGATGTAGCTGAGCAGGAAATCTCCATTTAAATACTGAAACTGCTTGCAGTACTTTGCCGATGGCTGTTGTTGCACTGAACGTCGCTCAGCTTCAATTACGCTGATTCATAATAAGAATGGGCATCAGAACAGATCAATCATGTGCCATCCTAAATCAGCTCAAGCTCCAGCACTGGATGCTGAGATCATTTCATAACTGTCTTAATGATTTAGCTTGGCGCTAAATGTGTTTTTCATGAATGGTGGCTTAGAGCTGCTAAAGCACAACAGCCAGCTGAGCAAACATAAAAGAAAACACTTCTAATGGATTGTGGTGGACTTATTCAAGCTAAGAGGTTATGGTGATGCACCTGTTTCATAATCCAAATTTTTGGCTGGCAATCTTAGCTTCAGGGAAAAACTGCACTCTCTCTAGGGGTATTAAAATGTAAATTTCCTTATCACTGAGTTGGTATCCTCAAGGATACATCTTTTGTACCTTTAGTATGTATGTATTTCCTGGTAACCATAAATATAGTTTATAGTTAAAAAAATATTTATGGTACATAATTGGACGTTATGGTCCCTTTTCAAGCTTTTAGGGTAATTTAGAGGCTTGTACACTTGAGTATCCTACCCCAGTGAAGGAAAGTGAAGGGACCCCTAGTGAAAGTACAATTTATGACCCTTTTTCTCTCAGTCTATTTTTGGAGAACCTCTTGTCCCACTGAATTAAAAGCAACAAACAAAAACACTAAAGAAATAAACGGACACTGATGCAAAAGAGACATCAAAGATCTGGGCTTCTGAGTGGCGTAGCATAAAATCGTTCACCCTATCATCCAGAGATACAACTTCCAATAATGACACAGTCTTCTTGGGCTGGGAGTCCAAGAGAGCAAAAACTCTCTGTGCTCACTGTGTGAGAGTGATGGTGTGACTCCAAAGACCCCAGTCAATCACAGTGACACTAGCCAATCCTGGCCATCTGTGAGACCATGTATTGTGGAATTCTTCTGAGTGTGTTATACTGCCTTGTGAAATAGCACGAGCAGCAGCTCAAAAAGATGCGGTTGTGTTATGCTTCATGTGTCTCGGACGAAGTACATGCACCCTCTCTGGTTGGTAGCTGTCATATTATAGGGGAAAGCTGGTTGGTAGGTGGGAATTGGTCAGGGAAAAAATGAGGGGAAATTAAAAGAAGAAGTAAAAAACATCAGTGACTGTGCTGTATTTATTAACTGCTCTGTCATGACTCCTCACCTCTACAGTGAAAGAAAGAAATTGAAATGCTTAAGCCTGTAGTCTAAGCATTTTATGGATCTTCCCTGCATTCCACTTGGCTGCAATCAGAGTACACTCTCAGGACTCTGCAACTTGCTCTCCTATTCATGATTAAGTGTAGTGCTCTACTGCTCAGCCATGTCACTCAACCCTGGCTGGACTGGTATGCTTGTAACTGCAGGAGGTATGAGTGGAACGACCTGCTGGGATGGTACCGTTGGTGGGAATTAAATATTTCTGTGTGTCTCCATGAGTCCATTATCTCTGTCACTTGCAAAACACACTGCATGATTTTATGTCACAAAGAGGAACACCAGGAAATCGATCAGCATTTTTCTGTAATGCACAGCACCAGCCTTGGAATAGTATGTTGTCTTCTCTGCATGACAACAAGTAAAGTCAAGAGGGTCGATTTTGATGTATGTTAGACCATTAAATGGCACTGTATAGGTTCCTGAGCAATAGTAGGTCAGCCAGACACAACGGTGAACAACTCTTCTCATTTCAATATGAGCCTTGTATATTTAATGATTGGAAGGGCCAGGAGGTCTTTCCAATTTTGCATAGTTTTGTACTTTGTATTTTTGACATGAAGTAATATATAAATATTACCATCGGGGTCACCATAGCAGCTCATCTGTCTGCATATTCTGATTCTGGCATAGATTTTATGCCGGATAACCTTCCTGATACAACCTTCACCATTTTCTGAGCTTGAGACCGGTACTGAGAGTGCACTGGGTTGTGCAACCTTCAAGTGGCTGGGGTTGGCTCCCTGACCAGGAATCGAACAAAGGCCGCAGCAGTGAGAGCACCGCATGCTAGCCTCTGGTCCACCCAGGAACCGATGAAGTATTAGATATAAGGAATAAAATATTTGGGACTAGCTGTTGATGAAAATAATCAACAACAGGTTTTTTAATGCAGTTCGATGCCAAATGTTATTATGTTTATAACCCTTTTCTTTTATTATAGAAAAGAAAACACATTAGAATGAGCACATTAATATAAATCTGTAATTTGCCCAGCAGCCAGTACTACTATTAGAGCTGCTGGAAACCAATCTGACCATTCTGACCAATCAGATGAGAAAATTCAATTGCCCTGTGGTATACTGTAAATATCTATTCGACACAAGCATAGCTGATGAGATATGGACGTGTGACAATTTAAATTGGAAAAAAAAACCCAGCATAAACTGTCTTAATAAGGTGTTTTACCACAACTTGCCAGCATACAACTACAGTGTGCTTTGACATTGTCATAGTGTAAGGGACCACTCTCATCAGAATAGAAATATTTCATCATAGAATGACGATGATCAGCAGGAAGAACTTTGTGTTGATTAGCTGTGGTGTTTCACTCTAAATGTACCTAAAGCATGTCAGCAAAAATAAATGCACCCCACAGCAAAGCAGAACCACTATTTTCCTCCCCTTTTATTTGTCACCCACCTATATGCCATTCAATATATAAACTAATTGCCTGGGGTGAAATATACTAGATGCAGAAATATGTGTAATTTATCACTCTGTACAGCACCAGTAAAAAATTACAAACACAAATGATTTATCATTTTTTTCAACACATTATTTGTGTAAATGATGGAAAGAAGTGGCCCACGTTGACAAACCGGAGCTCATTAGTCATGAGATACAAACTACACTTCTCTCATTCAAAGACCTGAAAAGCAGCAATGTTGGCTAAAGGATTAAGCACTTCAGAGGAAAATAAAAAGTTTGCATTACAATTTTAGTTAGTAATGCCCATTGTAACTTGGGAGCTGTATTTTGTGTAGTTTCTGTATGTTTGTATTCCACAGTATTGTTGATAATAAAGTTTTCTCTCCCTGGGCTGTCGCACGCATGACCTCCCAATCACAGTGACAGTGGCACTGCCCTTTTCTTCACCTCACAAGTACACAGTACAAGAAGAGACCGTGAACTACTAGCCTCCTGAGACAGTGGGTCAGTGAGACAGCGGGTCAGTTTGCATGGTAATTTAGTTTTGTTTCTAATTCCAAAACAAATCTTGGAATTTATTTACTGCTAGATATATTGTGCTGTGTCAAAGTATTAGTCAGATTTATTCTGTTTTTGTGTATATCTCATACTAAATAGTTTTATATCTTCAAACAAAATACAACATAAAACAAAGGCAACCTGAGTAAACTCACAATATAGTTTTTTATTGAAGCAAAAAAGGTTATCCAACACCTATCAACCATGTGAAAAACAAACTGTCCCATCAAAACCCCTGATTACACCACTTTTAACAGCAATAACTGCAACCAAATGCTTCCAATAACTGAAGATCATTCTTTCACTTTCTTCTAGCACTAGGAATTGCTGTATAATACAGTTGTGCTCTTGAGTTTCAACTTACGGACTAAAGACCGGAAATTCTCCTTTAGGATTTTCTATCTTTTAGGAGAGAGCAGAATTCTTGTTTCCCTCAGTTATTGCATGTTGCCAAGGCCCAGGCCCTGACGCAGCAAAGTATCCCCACACCATCACACTTCCACCACCATGCTTGACTGTAGGTATGATGCCCTTTTTTGGAATTCTGTGTTTGGACCTCTGTGTTCAAAACAGTTCCACTTTCTACTAATCAATCCAGAGAACATTCTCCCAAAAGGTTTGAGGATCATCAAGGTGTGTTTTGGCAAAATTCAGATGAGTCTTAATGTTCTTCTGGGTTAGCAGTGGTTTTCACCTTACCACTCCAAGGATGCCATTTTTACCCAGTGTCTTTCTTATAGGGGAGTCATGAACAGTGACTTTTATTGATGCAAGAGAGGCCTGTAGGTGCTTTGATGTTGTCCTTGGATCTTTTGTGACTTCCTGGATGAGTAGTTGCTGTGCTCTTGGAGGAATTTTGGAAGGTCTGCCACTTCTGGAAAGGTTCACTAATGTGCCAAGTTTTTCCATTTGGAGATAATGACTCTCACTGTGGTTCTTCGGAGTCCAAGTGCCTTTGAAATAGCTTTGTAACTCTTCCAAGGCTGATGTATTTCAGTCACCTTCTTCCTCATCATTTCTGGAATTTCTTTCAATTTTAGCATAGTGTGTTACTTCGTAAGACCTTTTAATCAACTTCATGCTGTTGAAAAAGCTCTATTTAAGTGTTGATTTGATTGAAATACCATAAGTCTGTCCACCTTCTGAGTGATCTGATCTGTTAAATCTGTTGCAAATGTGTCTTGGGGGCATTTACTTATATTTTAATTTATATGCCAATCTGGATGTAATCCTGATTCTCAACGTGCATGAAATAACTGAATGTAAATAGGCTGTACAATACTTGCATGCCAGCTCATTGTTTATCTCAAAATGCAATCATTACAGAAATGTCTTGGTGTAGCCATAAAATAGGTTTAGACAAGCACTGGGAGAATGAGACCTTTAAGGATTTTGTCTCTCAAAGCCATCAGCTGCATAACTCTGCCATTTTTTTTCTTCATATATCTAGTCGCAGGGCTTGAATCCCTGAGCATCAAGTTGTGAAATGTTCAAGCTTAATAAGAAAAAGATGGTATATTTCCAGCAACCATGATGCAATTGCAGCAATGTTTCTCACTGATCAACAATCCAAATTATTCCACATGGCAACTAAGGATGGCAGGGATGGCACTTTTTTTTTTTTTTAAATAAAGTAATTCAAAAAAATTTTGTATTACTGAGCTCCTTCACTTACAAAGTCATTTTGTACATGGTAAAACTAAATAATCATATATGCATCACTTATATATAAGTGAACAAAAAAAATCTAATTATGAAAATTTTCCACTTACCCCACATCCAGCCAATTTTCCAAGTATCCAATACTTGCTTCTTTATTTTTGCTTCTTTAGTCTCTCAAGTCAGACTTCTGGCATTTGATAGATAGTCTGGAGTGTTTAGTTAATAAACATGACCGGTGGACTTTGTTGCTTTCTTGGTAAGATAACAAATTGTATGTTATGTTTGTTTGTTTTTGGCTTAGAACCACTATTAAGAACCTGAGGCTTGTAGTCAGAAAAGTGCACTGAAAAATCTATCTTAGGAAATAAACCTTAAATGTACACAACTTCAAAATTATAGACAATTCTCTTTATTGTATTTTTTTTTTAACAAATGTCAGATTAATAAGCTTATTTCTACATACAGTATTTTACTCATTTCAAGCTTGAAATTGTCTTATTCTAGTGGTAGATCATTTTGATTATTTCAAGTGTTTATTTCTAGAATTATCTGCCAATTTAAGCTTGAAATGAGTACAAATGTCTAAAAAAAATAAATTGGCATATTTGTTAACTAATAATCTCTTAATGAGAAATATTAGATAACGTTTTTCTTTATTCACTTGCTAAGATATAATTTTTTGCAATGTTGCCAAAAGATATCAGAAGCTCTGTGGCTTATGAGCATAGTGATTAAAGCTGAGACTACTTTCTTACTGGCCTTAAAATGTTAATAAAATATGGACGATAATAATAAAAAAAAATAATAACAAAAAGCGAACACATATGATGCATGTAACACATGCTTCTTGCAACTGTAATAACTGTTGGTGGTAAAAGTTTTAAATATCTTTAAACCTACTTTGATGTGAGCAGACCAATTTAAAAGCAGAAATTATTTCTTGGACAAACAGTTCAGCTAATGAGTCCTGAGCTTGAAAAGATACATATACTAGTGCTTAGAAAATAACACACGCAAGCAAGGATGAATGAAGTTAATTAATGCCACCATACAGCAGCATGTATAAAAACAAGCTAACAAGCAAACTTGTAAATTCGCTAATAGGACTTAGAACAAAACATAACAGCGGTGGAAGGCTTATCAAGACACACGTGACAAAGTCCACAGCAACCCATATAACTAACCCTCAAAAACAATGTGAATACACTTCAGGGAGTCTGAGCCCCTTTACCAAGGAGGCTATAAGCTAGAGGGGGGCTGTGTAGTGCTTGGGCAAGACCAGGTCTATAAAGCCTTAACCAGGACTATAAAGGCAGACACACGCACACTCATGCAACCAAAGACAATGAAAAAGAGAGTGCAGATTGAAAGAACGGAAACACAGTTAGATGTTGGCTGGCTGGACTTCAGGGGACATAGTTAACTATGAACTCCTCCAGCCAGAAGACTGTCAGATTTGTGATGGAGCACTGTGGCCTGACGTCTCGTCTCTAGCAGCTGAAATGAATAAGTAGCAGGCCACCATGATTTCCATAAAATGGCCTGTTATGACAGTGATTGCCATCCTTATTAACTTGCAGCACTGAAAGCCTCAATGTCAAGCAACAGATTAATGATTTGTGTATTTGATAATAAATTGTTCCTTGGTTGACAGTGATAAATGCTTCAGCATGAGTTGGGCTCTGGACAGTCTCTGTTACACCTTTGTAATTTGTTACTGGTGTCACACACTTTGTTTGACTGGGAAAAAAAATCAATAAACGATGCTATGCATCCTTAAATCAGGGCCTCAGACTTGAGACTGTGTGTATCAGACTGTGTGTAACATTCTTGCTTTGTGCTCTTGTATTTCACCTCATTTGCTTTTCTTTTACATTTATTCTTGCACTGACATGTGCAGTGAACAGGAAAGCTCCGTTGCGCCATATCATGTTTATCCCCACACTTCAGGGGTGGAAATAAAATGGAAATAGCTGTGCTGCATGGATAAAGGCATCAAGCATCAACTTCCTGAACAAATTCCAGTTCAGACTGGGATATATTTCAGTTTGGATTTATAAGGAAGGACTGCCCAAAGTTTTGATATTTTCTCTGTAATTCCAGGCAGCCTTTTACACAGACCCATATAAATAGTTAAGGCGTAGAATTTCAGAGGCAATT